CTGCATGCAGAGCTCAGGGCTCTAAGGCCTGCCCTGGCCGCAGCACTTCCGCTGTCCTGGGTGAGAAGTGGCAGTGTTTTCTGTCTCCTGTAGGTTGGCTCTTGAGTTTGGGGGAACCAGGAGCAGAAGGCAAGGCAGTGGGATTCAGGGTTGCCAATGTGCTAGGGGTATATGCTGAAGGAGCTGTCATTCCCAATTTCCCTGGGGTTTGCCCCGAAGGTCTGAGTGCTGCAAGTTTCACTGGACACCAGGGGATTGGTGGTGATCTTTCCCAAATTTTATAGAAGAGGGTAGAGGATCGAAGAAGAGAAGAGACTTTCTCAAGGCCGCCCACCGTGGAAGGCAGAGACTGACACACAGGCCAGACTGGCCCTTGAACCTGGCTCATCTCTCCCATGACACAGTCTGGAGCCCTTCTGGTTCTGCCTCATTCACAATGGTTGGTGGATAAACCTCTCTGGACCTAACTTGGAAAGCCAGGCAGTCCCTCCTGGTGATTCAGAAGTAAAGAAACGCCACTTAGGGTGGTGCTCTTAAGTGTAGGGCTGAGAACCCCTAATGGAGGAGGAAGTAGGCATGTCCAAAATCAGAAAGTCCACAGAATCTCTCGAGCCACCCCCCAACTTGGGCTTGCACACTCCTGGGACGGGGGGCTCAGTTCCTCCATAGTTGGACTTCTTCCTTCTCCGGCTCAGCTCTGTCCAGGAGGGCACATTGGGCTGGGGCACTAGGCCCAGCAGCGTGTTGGCATGGTTTCCCTCAGGGGCACACAAGAGACCTACCTGTGGCAGCTCACAGGGGCTCTGAGGCCTCTGTCTCATTCTTTCACCACAGCACCATCCTACAGCCCTACTGTCCCTCCTCCAGCAGTGACTGCAGGACCACACAGCTCGGCCTAAGACATGAAATTGTGCTTGTCACTTGTCCTTTTTACTGCTTGCTTCCTTGTAAAGCCCAGGTCTGAGCCACCTGGGATGGTGGTGGCTCCATATGTGCTCATTGAGAGACTGTCTAGGACCTCCCTCCTTCCCCAGAGGGGCCTTCACGAGGTGATGCTGTCAGGTGGCCTCAAGGCTGGCTGGTGCATTGTGGGTAGAAAGGCCAGCATAGTGAGGAAGAGAGGTCACTGGCAATTTACTATTCCTTTCCCCCTCTGGGCCCAGCCTGAGGCACTCAGAGAGCCGTGAGGATACGAAGCTTCTTCATACCTTTCCCAGGGCAGATCCCTCCTGGAGCCTGAGTTAGGTGGCCACCCAGGGCGAGTGAGCAGAGCTGGCTTCTGGAGGCAGGAGCAGCTCCATGTGTCCACATTACCCAGGAGAGCTGTGTGGGATTCTAAGCCACCTAAATTTCCTACAAGCCCTGGGGCCCTATGGTCAAGATGAGGAGTAGGTGGGGTCTTCAGGTCTAGGCTCCCAGCTATGACCATGACAGATAGGTGAGCACCAGCCTCAGTCGTCCCTCCCTAGGGCTGGCATCCTGAGCCCTAGAAGAGGAACTGAGTCCTGGGAAACGAACGCAGGGCTCCCTCACCTTGGGTGTGAAAAGACAGGACATACTCACTAGCCCAGCCTAGAAGGGCGGTGCCTGAATCTCGGGCCCTAGTCCACCTTGGGCAGGGAGGGCACTAGGGCTGCATCTCCTGGTGCAAATAGGAAAAAGGGACTCAAAGGCAACTCCATTAGGTTTTATGGTGAAGGAGCCTAGGGCCATGGCCCACTGTTTGTCTAATGGTCTTTGAGTCCTGGAGAAGCCAAGGTCCCAACCTTCCCAGCTGGTTGAGCTGCCCTGGCTCCAGAGATGAAAGGGATTACCTAAATCCTGCAACCTGAGTTGAGCTTATCAGAGGCGCCACTCTGGGGGCCTTGGGGTGGTTTGGTGCTCCATACCTCCGGGACTGTCTTGGTGGCCTAGGAGAACTGATTTCCACCTTGGCCAGTAGCCCACACCTCTGCTCCAGGCCAGTGATATTGAGCACAGGCAGGTGGCCAGCCTGGACATTGTGGGCCTGGGATGAGGTGTGCAGGAGGGGAGCCTAGGGAGCCTGCTGGATGCTGCCCTGGAAACAAGCCCTCCTTGGCTGGAGCAGGCCTTTGCCCCCTGCCAGGCTAGTCAGGCTCTGTGGTGGGACTTGGGTGAGACAGGCCCTCTCAGGCCTCAGCCCCCTGGTCTGTCTGTTCAGGTACATGATGAAGTGTATGGTTCTACCCAGGGACTGTCGACCTTGGCAGATGGGAGGCTATGAGGGGGAAGCAATGAAAAATAGACCTGTGTAGGAGCAGGATCCTCATGCATTGGAAACTCCTAATATACATAACAAGACTACAATTTATGGAGTGCCCACTGGATTCAGCCACAGTCTCTGATGTGTGTTTCAGCCATCTTGGACGGGACCATTGATGCTGTACTAGGGCTATGTCCTGCTCTCCAGACCTACTGTTCACACATGGCTGCCCAAAGTTGGTTCATCCAACCCCTCTGGAATCTTCAGTGACTGTAGGTGGGTTGGGAGGGGTCAGCAAGTACCTTGGAGCCTGGCAGTTTCTGGGTTGGGTGGCGGCTGCACCATGACTCGCTGTGGGACCCTGGGAAGTTGCTGCATCGCTCTATGCCTCAGTTTTTCTTGTGTCTGTGTGAATGCTCTGTCCCCATAGTGTGGAGAGGAGGCGGTGATGGGTGTGAACACATCATGGATGACGTAAGGCTTGTGGATCATGTGAGTGTCCTCCTAGAACACCTGGGAGGATTAAAGAGCCCACAATGGTGGGGTTCATGGAGGCACAAGTAGCACATGAGTGTTAAACAATAGGAATTCCCTCCACAGAATGTGTCACTAAGGGTAAAGGCCCCATTTACAGAAGCCCAAAGCTGCTAACATAGCCAGGATGAAATCTGGCAAAGAAAGTTCAGGATTCATATGAATCTTGATGACGCTTTACTAATGGCTGTTGAAAACCTGAATGGACAGAAGATTCTAGTGCCCGGAAGAGAAGTGCTGAGGTGACCAAGAGATTTATCCTCCATATACGAACCCACAAAACCAGAGTGAGCAGCAGCATTTACAAATGTAACCTGACAAGCTGATGCTAAAGTTTGCCTGGAAACGAAGGTGTTATGGGAACCATCAAGAGGTGCTGGAAATAGACAAGAGTGCTCACTAGATCACCAAGCACACTGCAAGATTAGAGCCTGAAGGAGCATGGTGTCGTTGCAGGATGAGACAGGAGACCACACTGACAGTGCTTCCAAGTGAGGGCTACAGATGGGATAGTCAACAATGGGTAGTAATAAAGCAGAAGCTAAATTAGATCCCTACCTCACACCATACACTGAAATTCCAGATGCATTAAGAAGCTTTCATACATTTGTAATTTTTTTGGGGGGGAGGACTGGGGTTTGAACTCAGGGCTTCCCACTTGCAAAGCAGGTACTCTACCACTTGAACCGTGCTTCCAGACCATTTTGCTCTGGTTACTTTGGAGATACAGTCTCACAAACTATTTGCCTGGACTGGCCTTGAATTGTGATCTCAGTCTCCCAAGTAGCTAGGGTTGATTACAGGTGTGAGCCACTGGGTCCTGGCTACATCTGTATCTTATGTGTGTTTATGCCCTAACGAGTGAGTGTGTGAGTGTGTGTGCGTGTGTGTGTAAAATTAACAGGAGAAAATACAGAAATATATTTCTATGAATTTGGAGCTGGCTGCCCTTCCTGTCAAGGCACACAACTTTCCGTACGAGCTGTAAGATTATTGACTGGATAACAGAATGTTTTCCAAAAACTCTGTAACAAAAGTCACTTTAAACAAAATTAAAGACAAATGACATAAATTGGAGAACAGCTGGAGTGAGAAGGGGTCTTGGGGGAGGAAATGAGATGGTTTTACCAATCCCCAGTACAATCTGGCTTTTTCATAACAAGAATGGTTCACAGAAAAATGATCAAAATTATGCCAGTCTTGATGTAAGTGCCTTCTAGTCCCCTCCTAGCAGGGGGAGACAGGCAGTGGCAGGAGTGTGAGGTGGCCCCTTGAAGCCACCCACTGTGGAGACTGGGAGGGCAGGCTCTGGGGACAGGTACTGACAGCAGGCCTGGCAGAAGGCATGAAGGATGAATTCTGCATCATGACCGGGCCTGCCAGGGTGCCCTCCCCAGACACAAGTGTATTTTCCGATCTCTCTACCCTCCTAATGCCAACTGGGCCCTTGCCAGGCTCCACCTCCCTGCCCCTGCCTGCCAGGAATTTGCTCCCTCACAGGCTCCAGTCCCTGCTTTCCACATTTTGGGACCTTGCTTAGGGCAGTGTCACCCTCCTTTCAGAGAGCTGGCCTTCCTATCCCCTACCTGAGCCCAAAGGTTGACAGTAATCTCAGTGCTCATTTACCTAACACCCACTTGTGCCTGGTGTCATGGTAGACACTGGCAGGCAAATACTAAAACTGGGGGAAAAGATTGCATAACCATGACAAGATTACACAGACAACATCTAGTAACTGAAGTCTGGGCTCCAGGAATTTTCATACCTGGACAAACTGAGGTACAGAGAGGTGTGTATCTGGCTCAACATTGCACAGCAAATCATTGTCCGAGATGACCAGGTAGGACCACTCATCTGCCACCCCATCTGAAATAACAGCCATCATTCCGTCCCTTCTGTACAGATGGAGACTGAGGTCCCAGGAGGGTGGAATCTTGCTGAAGATCACACATAGCTTGGGGCAGAGCTCCATTTAAAACCGGTGTGTCTCCCATGTAGGAGTCAGACTGCCTGGGTTTGAATCCTGAGACTTCCATTTGCTGGCTGTGACCAACACCTGCCCCTCCCACCCCCCAGCAAGTCACTTTGTTGCCTTCACTGTCTCCATCCGTGGAAATGGGGTTCCTGGGGCTATCATGCCCTTGCCAGGTACCAATAATCACTCACCGAGGCTTCTGATGTCAAATGCCAGTCCACTCTCTCTTTCCAGGGCCCAAAGATACCCAGACTTGGGCAAGAGTTAAAGAATAAACTTTACTCTCTCTCAGGCAGGGGTTCTAGGCAGGTGGCTCTTTGGGTGGGGCCACGGAGCCATGCACACGCACACGGTACAGGCAGGTGAAGCGCGGGTTCCCCCAGTTGCTTGAGATCTTCACCTTGACTGCACCAAAACCCCGGGGGGGCTGGTTCTGGAACAGAGAATCAGGCAGAGGGGCAACTCACCCTCACACCACACTCTGCATGGCAGAGGGACATTCAGGAGTGGAAGGGAACACTGCCATTTCACAAGTGGGGAAATGAAGGCCCAGAGAGAAGAATTGACCATCTCAAGTCCACACGGTAAGTCAGTACTCAGGAGCCGGGATAGAAGGTGCTGAGGCCAGAAGGACAGACCTACTGAGGTTTGGAGCTTTGTGCTATGGGACTCTGATCAAGCCACTATCCCTCTCAGACTCAGTTTTCCCCTCTGTAAATTGGGAGTGATAATAGCTTCTACCTAGGATCATTGTGGACACGAACTGAGACCTTGTGGCTAGAGGGCTCGTCTGCCCCTGACACACGGTGGATGCTCAGAAATGCAGCCCCCTCCCCTTTTGGCCCCTCAAGTTGGGGGATGAAGTTTGTGTTTATCATGCTTCCTGCCCAGTGCAAAAAGTTGGGGAGGCTTAGCCTTCAGGATCTCCCTGCCTATTTGCAACGTCCCAAGAATTCTAGAAGGGGAAACCAATGCTGGAGAGGAAGGGAAAGGCCTGGATTGCACAGGATTTGTGGATGGGCTGAGATTTGGGCCAGTGTTAGACAGATTTCCAAGCCTGGTCAATCATTCTGCCAAGTCTTCCTGTCTCGCCTCTGTCCCCAACTCCCTCCCTACAGATCCCACTTTCCCCTCCTATGGCTGGATCAGCTCTCAGTATGGAAATTCTAACTTTGGAGCTAGCAACCCCCACTTGATGGCACCTGATGGGCACCTTTTGCTCGACATCTGCTGTCCCTGAGGAAAAAATGCAACAAAAGGACTTGTGTGGGGAATCAGAGAACATGGAGGCCTTCTAGAGGCTGGATGCATCTCCCTTTGGTCCATGGTTGGCCTTGGACATCTTCCAAGTGGGGCAGTAATGACTGTGCACTGCCCAGGGTTGTGGGAGGATGGGGAACCCTGGGTACAGCTGCACACAGCCAGCCTCTCTGGTACCTGGAGTGGGAACATCTGAATGATGTTTTCTGGCTGAAACTGGAATGCTCCCAGGAACACCTCCTCCGTGGGAGGAGTCTCTATGCCCTGTGGACCAGACGAGGAGAAGGCGTCAGAGGCAGCAGGGCTGAGGCCTGCACGCCTCCATGATGGGGAGCTCCTCACCAATTCTGGCAGTGCTCCGTCGCGGGCACCTGATGGACAGGAAAGCACTGGCCTGGGAGTCAGAGGCCAAGCGTCTTCTAACGCTGCCACTGATGTGCAGGACGCAGGTGCTTCCCTGCACCCCCTCTGGAACCTCATCTTATGGAGAAGGCCCCAGAAATTCTCTGAACCTTCCCAGCAAAATGGGGCTCAGAAATCTCTGCAGACTCTCTGACTAGATGGGCTGAACTAGAGCACTTGTCCCTGACTCTCCTTGAAGGCTGAGCTCTGACCCTGCCCCAGATACTCCCCACAAGCCCGACCTCCCCCCCAGCCCAACCATCATGCTGAGCCTGTGGGAGCTGTGCAGATGGCAGCTGTGTGGCGGCCTGCTGTGCCATCCTTCTGAGGTTGCCCCGTAGCCCAGCCTTGCTTCCCCCTGGGGGTCTGCTCACGTAGATGACAAAGTCCTTGGGGGCGGTGTCCTGGCTGCCTGACAGCGAGATGGTCTTGGGGATGTGCTGCAGCGTGAGGTTGGACAGGTAGACCTTCTGTGCCAATCGAATGGTCACCTGGCCTCGGTCACCCGCGAAGGCCCAGCAGTTGCCAGGTGTCATGTTGGGCTAGAAGAGGCAGGTGCGGGGGGTTCCTCAACCCAACTGCTCACTGCACTCCCTCAGCCCTTGTAAAGGAGTCAGCCCTTCCTCCCCGTAGTTGGGCCAGAGCACCCTGACTCCCCCCAGCCAGAGCAGTGAGGTGGGGCCTCCCCCATTCATCCACTCACTCTTCACTCACTCACTCGTTCACTCACTTGCTCTCTCACTCACATACTCATTCCTTCTATCTTTTCATGGTCTTACTACTAGGCACTGTTACTGTTCCCATTTTACAGATGTGGAAACTGAGGGACAGAGCAGAGAAATGACTGCTTCAGGATCGTGCAGAGCTGGAAGTGCGACCTAGGCAATTTGACCTGGAGCTTGTCTACCATTAACCACTATACTCTTCTGCCCTATGAAGGGGACGCAGAGAGGGAAAGGTGCCTGGGTGGGATCACATAGCTAAGGCATTCATTCAGCAGGTTCTGAACTCCTTAGAGGCACAGTGTGAATGGTTTCTTCCCTGGAGCAGGAGGTTCTGGGGCAGGGGTTCTGGGGCTGGGGCGGGAGGCGGTGGTCAGAGAAGACTCCTTCACAAGCTGGGACCAAGGGAGACTAGGAGTTTGCTGGGGTTGCTGAGGGAAGAGCAGGTAAAAGGCCAAATGTGGAGTCAGGCCAGACTGATGCATGGGGAGCTGGAGAGAGTTGGTGAGGCAGGAAGGGGAGAAGACTGGAGTGGTGGAGTCTTTGCCGTCTGGCTCTCACACTACCCCAGGCCTGATTGCCATCAGTGCTTTGCAGCCAGGCCTGATGGCTCTCCAGTCTGGGTTTGCTGTCACCCTGCCCTCTCTGGCCTGTGCCTGCCTGTTGCTGTGGTTCCCTTGCCTGGCAGGCCCTTGGTGCCTGCTCGAAACCTGACCATCCTTGCTCATCCTTGGTCACCCCACCAGGCTGCCTCCTTGTCTCTGCAAGTCCATTGTCCCAGACCAACCCCAAGTGCTGGCATCTCGAGCTCTTTGAGGGTGGGGCCTGCAGATGAGTCACTTGTGGCCTTGGCATTGTCCAGGGCTGGCCACTAGGATGGAAATTCTCAGCAGGGTTGCTGAATGAAGAAGTGCTTGCTATTGGGTCCGGGCAAGCCCCTTCCCCTCTCTGGGCATCAGGTTCCTCAGCTGTGAGGCAGGATTCCAGAGGGTTGAGGAGCTCAGCTTTGAATTCTGGCTTTGTCACATGCCACGTACCTGTGACCAGCTGTGTGGCTGCAATCAAGTGACCTGGCTCTTTGAGATTGTGTCCTTTGCAAAATGGATATAGCGAGGACCCATCCCCAGGGTGGTCCTGAGGGTTGTCAGGCCCTGAAGTCTTACTTAAGGCTGGGAGGGGTCCCTATGCCCTAGTCCTGCCACAGCCCCTTGTGGCCCGTTATCTGTTTTGATGATCCCCTGGCTTTTTAGCCCCCACCTTGTGGATTGTTCCCAGCCAGTCTTTGCCCCATCTCTGTCATCTGCTTCTGCTTCCAACCCTGCCCCCTTGCTCCCACCCCCCACTTCTGCTGCCAGTACCTGTCTCCAACTGTTCCCCTGCCGCACCCCTGCCCCTCTCCCATTGTCCCCTACCTCAAGGATCACATCCGGGGGCTGTGCATAGTTCCACAGCCGGATCCAGTTCCAGTAGGAGCGAGCCTTGTCATGGTTGTATGTGGCTGATGTATGCTCAAAGTCAATGCTGGCCCCTGTGTGGGGGGGGGCGGGTCTCACCATCTGCTCGGGGAGGGACCCACATTGACTGGACACTCACTCTGTGCCAGCCAGCACTTGGGATGAGTCACCGGACCTGTCTGGAGCTTGGTGTTGTCCTCTGGGTGATGGAAATGGTGACAGTCACAGCCGTAGGAGCCTGCTTGGCAGGCTGGGTGTGGATGGGAGCTAAGGCAACCAAACACTTCCCAGCAGTGCCTGGCACAGAGCCCACCCACTCTACATGCACCAACTGCGGCAGAGCTATTGCAGCAGGTTTCATGCCCAGCGTACAGAGGGAATAAGGGCCAGAGAGACTGAGGGGGCCGAGCTGGCTCAGGTGTGGGCTGATGCCCTCTGACCCTGTATTTCCCCTAGACTACAGTGCCTGGGCTGGCTGGTGTGACCTGGTCAGGGTGCCCCTCGCAGCAGCCCTGTGTGCACTCATGACTCTGGGCCCCTAGCCCCTTGCTCCTCTCAGGTGGCTGTCACTTGCCCTTGCTGGCCCCCTTCCACGGTCAGCTTTCACATTTTCCCCCTTGAGCCACAATGCTTTTCCTTCCACACTAGATCTCAACCCAAAAGTCCACCCACTAAGTGGAGGGACCTGGTTCCCTCTTTCCCAGCCATCTGCTATAGGACTCTTGAAATCAACTCCCGACCACCATTGAGCCTGTGTTGGTTCCTTTCTGAAGTCACATCCCCTCCCACTCCTGCTGACTGACCTCTGTGCCCAGCCCCAGGTTTAGGGTGTGGTGAGTGGGTGAAGGGCAGTGGACAGGCCAGGGCAGAGGTGAGGGCTAAGGATTTCTGTCCCCATCCCAGACACTGTTCAAGAAAAAGAAAGCCAACTGAACTGAGGACAGCTCTGAGGGTGAACTTCCCAGCAGCGGAGCCCACCACCACAGAATGACAACCACCCTCTGAAGGGTTTCTGAGGACATCTGAGGTGGTCAAGTAGGGGAGGGGACATCACTTACCTATGGACTTCAGGGCAAAGTCTGCCTTTTCGATGTAATCACCTTGAATCATTTTCATTATTTTCTGGGCCATCTTTTGCTGAGAAGGCAGAAAACAGAAGCTGTGTCCTTACAGATCACAGCGCTACCTGTGTGTCCTCAGCAGGTGACAGAAGGTTGCAGGACAACTTCTTCTCCCTATCCTTGACTGCAGAAGCTGTGGCTGGCCCCTCACAGGTTGGCCCAGTTCCTACACTGTGAGGACATCCTGTGACACAGAGTCACCCACATGTCACCCACTGGGTCTACTGTGAGCTTTCAAGTTCACCATGACTGGATATCAAACAGGGATCCCAGAGTCTCACTGAGGCTAAGAGTAGGGGCTCTAGAATCAGGAGTCTTGAGCAATATGGCGCCTTCAAGCCTTGATTTTCTAGCCTGCAAGATGGGGCAATAAATTGTACCTACAGCCCACAGTTGTGGAGGGCTATCATGGACTAGAGAGAAGATCTGAAAGGCCCCCACTGTGTGCCGGAACTATTCTCGGCCTTCCATATGTTCACTCCCATCCCCTATTGCCTCCTAGGAAGTTTGTACCACTACCACCCCACTTCAGAGGTGAGAATACTGAGGCATGAGTGAGAAGCTTGTCCAAGCTCACACAGCGGGTGAGAGCAGAGTCTAGTTTGGTCCCAGAGTTCAGGCTCTCAACCACTATACTCTCCCACCAGATAAAGACTGTGAAGCATGTAGCCCAGTTGCTGCTCAGTCAGTGCTGGCCATTTTTTCCATTAAGCCTTCATGATGTGACTGATTCTATTTTCCAACAATGGCTGCAACAAGGTCTCCCATCCCGTGATCTTCTTCCACTGTGACCCTGACATCTTCCCACGGGCAGAAAGTCAGTTTCCAATCTCCCTGCTCATCGCCCCAGGCTCATGACTGGGGCAGAAATGGTAACTGTGTGGCTGTGTGAAGTGATACGGTGCTGCCTGGCTCTCTGGGGATGCTCACTTGTGGAAGTCTGTGCCATGTTGTGAGAAGCCAGACCACATGGATGGCCACGTGTGGGCACTTTGGTCAACAGCCTGAGCTCCAGGCTGGCAGCCAGCATCAGCCTCCAGCTGCGCAAGGGGAGCCCCTGCCCCAGGTGAGTCCAATGTGGAATTCCCCTCCCCCAGCCTCCAAGACTTCTCACTGAGGCCCAAATCCGTGGAGCAGAGGCCAGCCATCCTGCTCTGTCTGACCCTCAGCCTCTCTGAGCATGAGACGATGTTCTTGGGAGGGCTTGTGAGACAGCCAAGGGAACTAGAACCATGGACAGGGCTCCAGGGCCGTTGGTTATGACTCCATTTTGTTGATGAGGAAACTGAGGCTCAGAGAGATTAACCTGCCTGAGGTGCTATAGAGCTCTAAAGGATAAAACACTCCCAACTCTCACCTTGCTTGTTGGGCAAATTCTTACTTATTCCTCCTTAAAACTGGGTCACCAATTCCAAGGAGTTTCCCTGTAGTGGTCCCCACCCTCTCTCTGCCCCTAGACTGGGTGGAGGTTTCTCTGGACTCACAGGTCCCAGTCTGTACTGAGGTCAGGGATGGGATCTAGTTTATCCCAGATCCTAGACTCCTACCACAGTCCTGGTACACAGGAGGTGCTTAGACAGTGCAACTGATTAGTCTATGCTGTCAAGTTCTACCTTTGCTGACAGGCAACAAACATTTAGGGAGCAGTTACCACATGGCAGAAATTATTCTAAAGACGACATGAATCACCATGTTGAATTCTTACAACAACCCATTTCCAGATGAGGTGACTGAGGCACAGAGAAGTTAAGTGAAGTGACCAGAGTCAAGTCTGGCTACAAATAGAAGCAGAGAGTTCAAGTTTGCCCCTGGAAGAGATGGCACCATAGGGGCCAGAGATTTTACATTCATGGAGGGCTAGAAGACAAAACTAGAGACTCAAGAGCCCTCAACATACGGCCAGTCTGGCCCACTATTTAAGACATGTGCCACATTTTTGAAGCTGCATGAGCAGGAGTCCAAAGAATTAAGCCGAAAACCTCTGAATAGAATTTATAAATTTGCAATCCACTCTGCTTGAACCAACTCAATGCAAGTCTAGAAAAAAATCTTTCTACTCCATCTTCCCTACAAAGGGAGAACTCTCTTGGTGGAAATTAAAATTGTTTGAAGTATATGCAGAAAAACACTAAAAAATTACTAGATAAGACCACATGGCTGAAACCCAAGAGAAAAAAGAGAAACTGGAAGGCCATAGATAATACAGATATTGGAGATGGCTGACTGGATTTTTAAAATACTCATGAATGGACTGGTGAAATGGCTGAAGTGGTAGAGCTCCTGCCTAGCAAGTGTCTAGGCCTGGGTCTCTAGGGATGCTCACTTGTGGAAGTGAGGCCTTGAGTTCAAACCCCAGTACTGACAACAACAAAAAAAATCACGGCTAATCTGTTAAATATAGGAAAAGACAGATAACATAGATGAAGTGACAGAGAATTTCACCATAGAATCAAAATCTATGAAAAAAGAATCTGATGTGTATTCTAGAACTAAATGATGTGATATCTGAAATGAACAGTAGCTTTCATCATAGAATGTGGAATTATTAGTGAACCTGAAAAAGGTTCAAAAAGAAAATTTCAAACTTAGACACACAGAGAAAAAGAAAGACCAAGATAATAGCATAAGACTTATGTGAAACACATTCTATAGGTTTATCACAGAGATAATCCAATAGAGAAGAGAAATGATGGGGAACAGCAATATTTTAAAAGATAAAGGCTAAGGTTTTTTTGGGGGGTGGGATTGAGATTTGAACTCAGGGCTTTGTGCTTGTAAAGCAGGTGCTCTACCACTTGAGCCACACCTCCAGTTCATTTTGCTCTGGTTATTTTGGAGATGGGGGTTTCACAAACCATTTGCTCAGGCTGGCCTTGGACTGTGACTCTTCCAATATCAGCCTCCCAAGTAGCTAGGATTATAGGTGAGAGCCACTGGTGCTGGCAAGAATTCTAATACTATTGAAAAACATAAACCCACAAATTTAATGAGCTCAGATTCCCTCCTCCCCCAAGCAGGTTATACATAGAACATAAGAAACAAAAAAGAATATCCTCTAAGAAATCAGGAATTAAAAAAGCAGATTAGACCCAAAGGATTAGTAATAAGAATGGCATTGTAATTCTCAATATGAACAGTATAAACTAGAACACAGTGCTGGGTTTCCTTCAAAATTCTCAGGAGAAAATTTCCTTCTTAGAATTCTGTACCTAGCCAAACTATCAATCAAGTACTAGGGTAAGATAAGTATGTCTTTTAACTTACAAGTTCTAAAACAATAAAATGCACTTCTTCTTTTCTCTTTTTCAGGAAGTTACTGGGTGATATGCTCCATCAAAATGAGAGATTAAACCAAGAAAGAAGGCTTGGGATACAGGAAACATGGCATCAAACAAAGGAGAAGTTAGGTGTTGGGGGCAGAGGTGGGGAGCTGTTTACCTCATCTGACATGGCTTCCATCTCCTGGAGTTTGGCAATGAGCAGGTTCATGCTGCCTCGGAGGTCCTGGATTTCCCCAGAGTGATGTCGCACCTTCTCCTGGTACATCCTTATCAGAGAGGAGTGGAAACAAGCTGACTGCTTTGTAATGCTGCTGTTACACCCAAATTCTCACTTTGCTGGTCTAGCTTCATAGTCTTCCAGTCCCTTGGGCCCATCCCTGGCATACCCAGTACTTCTTAACTCTAGAACATTCCTCATTCTCTTCCTTCTGCTTTGAAGATCCTTAATCCCAGCTCAATCCTTCCAAATAGTCAAGAATTTTGTCTGCAATTAAGGATGCTGTCATCAGGTGATGACTTGTTGGTTAAAATGCCTTCTCAGCTATCATTTACTGAGCCCTAACTATGGGCCAGAGCAGTTCAAGACACTTCACCTTTTCTTTAAAGCCCACAATCACCTAGAGTAAGGTGAGTGGTATGTCTCACCTCCCAAATGAGTCAAAGTCCCAGAAGATGAAGTGACTTCCATAAGATCAGATGGGTAGGATTTACAGGAGTGAGGATTTAAGTCCAGGCTGGTCTGACTATGGTGCCCATATTACTGGTGAAGGTACCCCAGATCCTTGCTATAGCTGTGTTTTTTAGGTGATAGGTTTCTCTTACCTCAAGCTCTGTAGTGGACTATTTATGCTGTCATCCTGGTGAAGTATTGAAGAGAGCAGGGGTCTCTGTCAGATTGTCCAATCTGAGCTCCATTCTTCCATTCTCCCACAACCATTTATCCATCTTCAAGTTCCTCTTCCATCCCAATTGCCATCTATCCAACCTCCAAATTCCAATTTACTCTCTTTTTTAATCTATCCATCCTTACCCTGTCCACACACACTCTCCCACCCATCTCTTCTTTCATCTTCTCAACCTCCCCCATCTATCTACACTTGACCCCCACCCCAACATCATCCTTCAATCCTACCCCACTCTCATCCATCCACTTATTCACCTACCCATCCTTCCCATCTGCCTGCCCATCCATCAATTAGCTCATCCATCCATTTTCTTATTTATACACCCATTTATCCTCCCATGATGCCTCCATTCCTATCTCCTTTACATCCAACATCCACCCATCCACACATCCATCCACTCATCTATCCTCCTATCCATTCCCTCTCTTTTCATACTCCTGTCTCGCCAGCCAGTCATCCAACCTTGATAGTGTCAGCCCTGTGCCTGGCACCGAACTGGACATTGCTTGGATAAATGAGGCCTATCTCCTTCCTTCAAGGAGTTGCCAGTGCATTTGGAGAGACGGTGATGATTATAGATAATTGTGGGAGACAGAGAAACACGTGACTGCCTCTGCCTGGGTGTTTCTGGAGGGGGTGACATTTTAGTTGGGTCTTGAGAAATTGAAGGAGTTCACAATTGGGAAAGGAGAAGAGGGGAAACAGGTCCCCCAGATCACCATTCTCTCTAGGCCTTCTGAGACTTCCTTAATCAGGGAACTCTGGTCACTGACTTCCTCTTCTTTCCTCTTCAGAAACAAAACCCAATCAGGTCTCATTTCAGTTAAGCAGAAAAGAGTAAATTGTTTGAGTAGAGGGAGTAATGTGTTCCCTGATCTCACCACCTCACTTTAGGTCGGGGCCTTGAGAAAGAGCAAAGGGCCCCTCTAGGAGTGAATGACAAGACAGCCATCCTGGTAAAGGATGATTGAATCTGGTCTTTCAAGGTCATAGTTGCAGGAAAGATGGGTTCCAGGTTGGTGGTATGACAAAGGCAGAAAATTGGATTTAGGCTGAGTTAGGAACCAACCAGTGTCCAGATTTGGTGAGAGTGAGAGGAGGTATGGAAGGAATATTGACTGGTTGAGGTGAGACCAGTCAGCTGTGGGGCCTGAAGAAGGCACACACTCACCTGCCAGACTTCCATTTTCGATGGTAAGTGCATGGAAAACATCCAGAATCCTGTGGACCATAAGAACAAGAACGAGGCACTCAGCATGGAAGGTTAAGATCCAGGGCCCTGGAGTTAAGGGTACAAATCTCAGTCTTGCTATTTTCTATCATTGTGGAACTTTGGGAGAAGTAAATTAATCTCAGCATATCTCAGTTTCCTCTTCGGTGAAATGGGAATAACTCTGTTATCCACTTCATATTCAAATGTTCTCATACATAATGTGTGCCACATAAACTAAACAATTTGTGTTTCCTTCCACTCTCTCACCCCAGTCTTGTTGGGGAACGATTGGCAAAGAAAGGCAGGGTGGTCTTTTTTCTGTATTCTATGATCTCAAGACTGGCTGAAATCTCATTAATATTTAAAAACCTTTAAGAAATGCAAATTAAAACCACACTAAGATTCCACTTCACCCCTGTTAGAATAGCCATCATTAACAATACCACTAACAACAGGTGTTGGTGAGGATGCAGGGAAAAAGGAACCCTCTTACACTGTTGGTGGGAATGTAAACTAGTACAACCACTCTGGAAAAAA